CTCCTACCCCAGTGTATGCGCGCTTCGTCTGCGCGCCAGGCACGCGCTCCGCGCGCACTCCAGCCACCTTCATAAGGCACGCGACGGCCCCTGCGAGTTTGGTGAGTCTTCTGGCGTCCCAGGGCCCTGGCGGGTAGAGAAAGTGGGACCCCAATTCTCAAGGATGGGGGGCAAAGGATCCTTCTGCACAACCGTGGATCTGGCTGCCTGGGGCCTCAGTTTCCTTTTGGGGAACAGTATTTTGCATTTTGCTGGTGTTCGGGGAGACCAGGGTGGAAATTCACATCCTGCGCTCTCTTATCAAGTGCTTGGAGACACCAACCCTGGAGAGAGAGGAAGTTTTGATAAGCCTGCTGCCCTCTTTGGTACTTAGGTGCCTGCTCATACAGTGATTTGCAGGCTGGCCTCTTTGTCCCAGGGAAACTGGGAACTGAGGAGAGGGTTTCTGATTGGGTGTTCCCAGGTGTCCTGTGCCAGGTGGATTGTTTGAATGGAGAGGAAGAAGAGGTGAGGCTACTGGACGAGCAGGAGCTCCTTGGAGGAACTCGGGAGTAGTCAGGACAGAACACCAGGGATCCTGGTTTTGTGGGAGGCCCAGTCTCCCTTAGGAAAGGGAGCTGCCACCCAGAACAGCTGAGCCCTTTGGAGACCTAAGCTCTGAAAAGATTATTGCACAATCAGAGGCAGACCCAGGTTTTGTGGGTCTAACACACATACAACTGGAAAAGTCCTGCTTTAAGGAAAGGAATAGAAAATTATGAATTGCCAGGGACTTAGAAACTTAAACTTCATTAACATTGCAATACAACCATATCTGGGTGCCATAATTGCCTGTGTAATTCTCTGTGTAATTTTTAAAAATCAAATAGAAATAAACCAAAACATTAGTATACAGGAATGTCCAGCAAAGCACCCTGCTCTGCTAGCCCACTTTGCCTTAGTGCCGACATGACCCACCCATGAGGTTTTGGAGAACGGCTCATGTCTACTCTGCCTGGAGAGGGCAGTGGAGAGTTCAGGGCGAGTAAGTCAGTGGCTGGTGAGTCCACAGGAATGTGGCTTACTCTGGGCTTCAATTCTGGGGAGGAATTCTGGCCTGGACCTGGAGACCAAGTACAGGCTAAATGCCTAAGTCAGTGTAATGACTTAGGCTTCAAGAGGGAAGCCTCAGGGTTGGGTGAAGCTTTTTCCAGGCCTTAAGAAGCATCTAATATTGTGATATTCCTACCTCTCCAACGTATTCCAGGTAGATGTACTCAAGTCCAGGAGATTCAAGGGCTTGTTGGAAATGGGGCAGGATGTCTCTTGGCTGCGAAACAAAGACCATGTGCCGCTCTGTGCAGTCGCAGTTGACAGGAAATGGCCATGGCTATTCCTCCTTGGGCTCCCAGTGCAAGACAGAGCTGGGGGGCTTTCTGAGTGGCCTTCTTTCTCCTCTCTGGCCAGGTCAGCCCCCGGGAGCTATTGTTTAGGTCCCTTCTCCCTCAAACTCTTGTTTCTGTCCTGCGGCACTTAAATGGTCCTGTCCTTGCCTAACACTTGGGTTTTTTTTTTTTTTTAAATAATCTGCTTTCCTCAGCATTAAATTTACAGACAGCAGTTCTCTTTGTCTGCAGACAGGTAACAGTCTACATTCAGGAGAAGTAAGAAATGCTGACCTGGTTCCCCCAGAATCCACCCAGTGCTGATGGTCTCAGATCATTTCTCCCTAGAGTGGTATTCTGTTCTTAAGAGAAAGACACTTTAAAAGACATGTAGAATAAATTTTCTTTTATGCAGAGGAGACTGAGGCCCAACAAGGGCAGGGGACTTGTCCAGGATATCCAGTGAAGGCTGACTAGCTCCCAGGGACACCCTATCCAGTGCTCTTTCAGGACAGGACTTGATAGTCAGGCAGATGGTGGTTGTCATGGTTACCAGAGTAAGGACAGATGGCAGATGGAAACCCCAGACCCCTAATTCATTGAAAATTACCAAATGACAAGTAAATGTGACAGCCTCTCAATTCTGATCTATGGGCTCTGAGGCCCTCCCCAGGCTCAGTCCCCAGGAATAAAGATGTACTTGGGGCCAAACGGAAGCAATTCAGAAGCTGCTTTTCATGACCTTATCAGGGACAGGCGTCCTGGCTCCCCAGCTCAGCTGTCCTTCCCACCAGCATTTGTGTCATACACCGTCAGACCTGACACCCGTCAGACCTGACACCCGTCAGACCTGACACCCGTGCCCTGTCACCTTCTGTGCTGACTTGCTTGTGGGACACCCCCACCCCCACCCCGCCTGTGTCTTGGTAAGGCCTGAAGGTGTAGACAGGGAGATGTTTCCTTTTCCTAGCCACCTCATTCTGTGCTGCCCTAAAGCCATCTTTAATTCAGAAGACACAGCAGGAGCATTTTTTAACAATGCCCCTGGGGACCCTGGTTGAAGGAAAACAGGAGTCAGAGCTGAGCTGTTCTGCTTTAATATTGGTGAGAAAATCACCCTTAACTTGACCAGAGCAAGGGGTTATTAAGTATTAATTAGGCTCCTCCCAGTGTAGAGAAGTGTCTGACACATGCCCCTGAGAGCCAGTGGGAAACAGTTTGGGGACTTAAATGCTGCTCTTTCCTTCTGTGCTCTGAAATGCCCCAAACTGCCTAAAAATGACAGTGATCCTTTGATCCACACAATGATTAAAGGCTCGTGTATAAATAATTCTTTACTGTTGGACATTGTTTTTTGCACCCATCTTCTTACTGGGTTTTTGCAAATAATTTTGTTTTCATTCGAGAAGTCTCACTCCCGTTTAATAGAAGGGAAAACTGAGGCATGCAGAAGGGAATTCCTGGGAGCCACCTGGCCACCCCAGCTGAAGGCAGCCCAGGTTTGCCTGGCTCCTTGTGGCTCCCTGCCATCCATCTCTTGCCTGCAGTGTATGAAGCCCCTGTGGCGGCAGTGAGCTCTTGAGATCCTGAATCTCAGAAAATTCACCTTGGTTGAAATTCCAGCTCCACTTAGAAACCCAAGGCGCCGCAGTGTTACCAGGTAACCAGAAGAGGCAGCGAAATGCCACTTTGTGAGAGGGACAAAGAAAGGGGCCTCATGTTCAAAAGCCTTTCATTGCCAAGGGAGGGGATTTGAGGCACGGGCTGCAGGGAGCGGGATTAAGCTGTTCCACGTCATAGAGTGACTGTTAGCATAAATTACCGGGGCTGCTCAGTGTGTTGATTATTAAACTCTTTGGTTGTGCACTTCTTAATACAAGCAGATGAGGCCTGGGGGATGACTTTGGATATTCTCTCTTTCCCTAGCACCATTAACTTTAAAGAACTCTCAGAGGCATTTGAGAAGATCTTTTATTCCAGCCATCGAGGATCCATTTAATTGACGGGCTAGGGAGACCGATCACCTCACACGATAATAATAATATTGATCCCTTTCATCTCTGCAGATCCCCACGGTCACATCCATTATCTGCCTGCCCCCCAGAGGGTGGGGCAGCGGACACTCTCTTCATTTGCACACAGGGAGGAAATGGTTAGCAACTTGCCCAGTCCTGAAGGCTCAGCACCTGGACCCCAGGTGTTTGAGTCTCCCTCCGCTTCTGTTTGCCCACACTATGGTACTGCCTCCTGTGACCATGCGCACCTGGTGGCTAGCCATGTGACCTGCCGGTTAGCCTTCCGGTGGGTGGATTTGTGCCCTCTCTATTTCTAGGGCCATTGTTGGCTCGAGCAGAAGGACAGAAGCATTGAGCAAGGAGGAGCTAGAGAGATGAAGCTTGCACAGAGGCTGGGCGGACCAGGTGCTGTCTCCCTCCTAAGAGCCATGTTATTCTTATCAAAAGCAGGTGGGAAGGAAAGACCTGGTTCTTCAGGGATTATGGAGGCTTTGGCAATGGTAAGGTGAGAAGATGTGTGGGTGCCAGGGTGAAGGCTGTGTGGGTCATGGCCTCTGGTGCCTCCAGGAAGAACCCTGATGGGCTCTGTCACCAGAAGCCAGCAGAGGGTTGCAGTCAGGCCAGGCACCATGGAAGAGTCTGCCCCTGAGGTAAGACAGCCGGCCACAACTTTGGATCCCTCTGTAACCTTGTGGGGGTCTTGGAACTCTTCCTTCTCACAGCAGCCCACGAGGAATGGGCAAGGGGATAAAGGGGCTCCTGTGCCCTTTTTAAAGAAAGCTGTAATCCCAGTGGCTCCGGAAGCTGAGGCAGGAGAATCCCAAGTTGGAGGCCAGCCTCAGCAACTTTTAGCAAGGCCCTGTCTCAAAATGAAAAATACAAGGGCTGGGGGTGTGGCTCCGTAGTTAAACACCCCTGGGTTCAATTCCTGGTACTTACTAAATAAACAAACAAACAAACAAATACATAAATAAAAAGGGGGAAGGGCCAAATCATGACACTGGAAATGGTACAGATAGAATTCAAAGCGGGATTCCTCTGTCCCAGATAGCACACTGTCCCTCCTGCCTCTGGTAGCATCCCCATGTCATATATTTAGGGTAATAATGGGGACTGGGCTGTCCAAGCAAGGGCACAGTCCCTTGTGCGCTTTCAGGCACACAGTGCATCATATGCATTTTCTTTGTCTATGGTTGTGTCCAGTGCAACCCCAAGGAACGAGCTCTTAGGAGCATAGGTCCCCCACGTCGTAACATTGCCCTTTGGTGATCTGCTTTTTATGCTTGGCTGAAATCAGTCAGAGCCATCCGTAGGACCATATGCTGAGTCCTAGGAATCCTCCTAGTAAAACTTTGGACCTGAGGATTCTTTTTTGGAACCCCCAGCACAACCCCTAAATAACTAATCTCTCATTGTAGAATGGAGTCCATACAGATAACAAATGTTTCACTTTAAAGTATAGCATGGGACAAGCCTGTTATACCCAGCAGCTCAAAAAGCTGAGGCAGGAGGATCTCAGATTCAAAGCCAGCCTCGGTACTTAGAAAGGCACTAAGCAACTTAGTGAGACCCTATCTCAAAATAAAATATAAAAAAAATGGGGATATGGCTCAGTGGTTAAGTGCCCTGGGTTCAATCCCCAGTACCCCCCCCCCCGCCCCGCAAAAGGAAAGAAATACATATATGGGCAGCTTAAGCAGTGCCCCCATCTGGAAACCGAGAAGATTCTTGGAAAGATGAACAGCTCAGTGCTTGGTTGTAAAAGAAAGACCCTCAGCACACAGCAAGTGCCACGTTAAGCCTGTAGTCATTACCATTGTTACTGAGAATATTATTGACTATGAAGAGCTGCGACAGATGAAAATGTCTTCAGTTTTAAAACCAACCATGTTATAATTAAAAGCAGATGATCATGGCAAAGCACGGCATGAGGGTGCTTTTTGAGATAATGGAATGGTTGCGGATCTGCCTTTGTCAAAACTGTGAACCACGCACCAAGAAGAATGCCCTGTCGGTACATGCAAATTTATAAATAAATAATTGTTCAATGTTCCTTTGAGCGGGGTCTCTTTTGTAAAAAGAAATGGTGTTTCCTGCCATGCAATCCAGGCAGACCCAGTATTGCCAAGGCAGTCGTCCTTAATTGTCGTTGTTGGAGAGAGGGAGGGTCAAGCACGAGGAGAGAGGAAGAGGAAATGTGATTTGCTGGTTTATTCATTTAGGCCTGAAAGGGAGTGATGAAATCTCATTTAAAATTTATGACTTTACATGAATGGAAGTGAAACGCGGTGATCGAGCGTCCCCTTGGAATCTACCGGGGGCTCTGGAATAAGAGGTGGTTCTGATTGTTCCCGCAGTGAGACATTTGGGGACGGGTTTGGGCTTCGGTGAAGGTGGCATCCCAGCGCCTGTGTGGCTGAGGAGGCGCTGGCAGGAGGATGTGAATAAATTAGCCTCTTTGTCATCGCAGATGGGGTCCCTGCCAGCAAGCCTGGGTGTGGGGCTCTGTGTGGCTGCGGGCAGGTTAGAAGTCCATGGCTTCTGGGTAAGCGTGGGCTGGGGGGGTCCTTCACAGGGTAGGCAGATGGGCCTGGCAGAGGAGTGGCGGGGAGCCTCCTGGGTGGGGAGGGGAGTCCCTGGAGAGCTGTGGGGCACCCAGGGGCTGTGGGCTCCGGAGGGCAGTCCCGGGGTCAGCAGGTGGCCATTACAGAGACGCAGATTTAGTTCCAGGTAAGGCTGAGCTTTTTTACCAGGAGAGCCTCCGAGGAGGGCAGGTGGTCTCCGGTGATCTCTGCACCAGCCCAGCCTCCTCCCTGCTTCTTTCTGTCCCTGAGTTCTCCTTTTTTACTGCACAAGACCTTCCCCTCTCAGAGCAGGGTTGACTCGGAGTCACCAAGCCTCTGTAGTTTGATGGCCCTGGAGTGAACGAATTTGTTCTTTTCTTTGCCAGGGATTTCTTCATCTAGTCTCCTCAGTTGGCCAGACCTGAGCCCCGTCCCCTGTGTCTCGCTCTGTCACTCATTCCATGGGTAGACCCACTCAGCAGCCCGGGAGCAGGGTTGTTATCCCCGTTTTACAGAGGAGGAGGCCTGAGCCAAGAGCATTTCACTGGCCAGGCCTCCGCCTTGCACCTTGCCCAGGACACCTGGGTTGGATGCCAGGGTGCTGAGCTGGCCGTCGGCACAGGTGAGACTGCATAGATACACCTGGACTCCGAGGCCAGCTGTGACTCAGCAGAGCCAAGAGGTGCAGCCCCCTGGTCCTGGGTAGAGTTCCCAGCCAGGCCCTGTGGGCTGGGGGAGATGCCCACCCCAGGAGCTGTGGGAGTGGGTGTATCCCATCGGAGGGAAGCAGGGCACTGGGGGGAGGCTGGATGGGGGTCTGAAGGCCGAGGAGGCTGGACTGGGTATTACACAGCCCAGTGGGGGCAGAAGCCAGGGGCAGGAGGAAGCAGGGCGTGGAGCATGAACTAACAATTTGTAACTTGATGCCAGTGTGCTCCCAGGTCCCCTCCAGAGAGCCCACCCTCCCCCTCCCCCTGTAATATTCCAGCAACCTAGAGTGGCATTTGCCCCATTTTCTGAGTAGTCCTGGCTCTGCTCCCTTGGCCTCTGGGTCTGCACTTGGGGCCTGGGAATCCATGGTGTCTATGTGGTGCCCGTGCAGACGGTGGCATCTGGAGTGGACGGCAGGGCTCAGCTCCAGGGTGTGGCAGCCATTGGGCATGGCATTCTCCTTTGGAACACCCCCGCACATGGAAACAGAAACGCCCATCTGCTTGAAGTCTCTGCCGTCGGTGATGTGACATGGGTGCTCTTGGAGTCCGCCACCCCCATCCTGTAACTGAATAAGCAGATGGCAGCCAGGGAGGGGCCGGGGAGGGGGTATGCTGAGACCCAGGCTCTGCCACTGAGCTTGGGAACTTGCCAGTTTCCTGGTGGTGAAACAAAGGCAGCAGATCACAAGAGCAGCAGAACCTTCCCTGTCTGAAGAGAGCACCCATCTATGATCCCTCGCGCAGGGCAGGGCCCCGCCAGGCCCTCAGCAGGCAGGGTGGTGGTGGAGGTGGGGTGCTTGGGGCCCGCCAGGGTAAAGGGTGTGTTCCCTTGTCTTCTTCTCCCAGCTCCTGCAGTCATCCTGCCACCCCGGAGTGTTCACAATGTCACCGGGGCGCAGGCATACCTGTCCTGTGAGGTGAGGGCCGTGCCCACCCCAGCCATCACATGGAGGAAGGTATTTCTCTCCAAGACTTGTGCGTCATTGTGTGTGTGTGTGTGTGTGTGTGTGTTGGTGTCTGTGCGAGAGAGACAGAGACAGAAACTGCCAGGCAGGTGTGGGTGGGAAGTATTTTTTCTTTAAGTGGTTTGTGTGCTTATCTTTGTGTGGGGGCCAGAGGATTAGGAAAAGTTACCTGGTATGTCACTTTCTGCCTCAGAAACTTAAACCACAGCACTCTCCCCGGAGAAGGGAGTGGGATTGCAATCCTTCCTGTGTCATTTGGTCCCTCAGGTGCCCAGAAAGTTCTGCTGTCACCTATCCTACAAGAGCTGCTAGGACCCAAGAGACTGCTTCACTGTGGAGCTAAATGGTTGGCAGGCTTGGCTGATGGCAGAAGCCCCAATCCCCTTCCAAACCCAAATCTTCCTGAAGACCAGTCAACTTTGTCTTCTGTCCCCTTGTCTCAGCAGCCCTCTTAGTAAAGACCAGCAGAATTCCTTCTGCCACTGCGGCCGCCTTAGTGGTGATGTGTGGTGATGTCCAGCAGGGGGTGCTGTCTCTACGCACATTTAGGAATGAGCTGTGTTAGGGTTTCAGCCTTTTAGACAGTGAGAGCGTGCGGGTGGCGAGGATGTCTGCGAGGTGTCCTGATCCAGAAGTCCTCTCTCTACACTGCTCATGGTTTCTGCGTGCTCTATAGGTCACACACTCCCCTGATGGTACTGAGGTGCTGGAGGAGTTACCTGGGGACCACGCCAATATAGCTGTCCAGGTGCGAGCTTCCAACCACGAGGCCACAGCCTGGATTTTGGTGAGTGTTTAGGATTATTGGGTGCTACTGACTTACCCTATGGAGCTCCCTTGATCCTTGGGTAACACATTACCCTTTTCAAAGCTGTTTCTAGGGGCTGGGGATGTGGCTCAAGCGGTAGCATGTTCGCCTGGCATGCGTGCGGCCCGGGTTCGATCCTCAGAGCCACATACAAAGATGTTGTGTCTGCCGAAAACTAAAAAATAAATATTAAAAAATTCTCTCTCTCTCTCTCTCTCTCTCTCTCTCTCTCTCTCTCTCTCTGTCTCTGTCTCTCTCTCATCTCTCTCTCTCTTAAAAAAAATCAGTCCTAATATGGGCTGAGAAAAAAAAAAAGCTGTTTCTATCCATTGCTCACAAGACCATCTAGTGGCCCTGAGGTGGGTGGGGCAGGTTGTATACCTCCTGAGAGCACAAGAGGTCGGCTGCTGTGGCCCTCAAAAGATGTCTTTGTCCTAAAGTGCAGAACCTGTGGAGGGGGAGGGGTTGCTGAATGGCCAACTTTAAGATGGGGTGAGGAGCCAGGGGCAGTGGGCATGCCCATCATCCCAGCAACGCAAGAGGTTAAAGGTAGGAGAATTGCAAGTTCAAGGCCAGTCTGGGCAATTTAGTGAGACCCTATCTCAAAATAAAAAATAAAAAGCTAGGGGGGTATAACTCCGTGGTGCAGCACCTGCCTAGCATGCAGGAGGCTCTGGGTTTAATCTCCAGAACCCCAAAACAAAGGGGAGGGGAGTAAGCTAGATTACCCAGTGGGCCCAATTTAAAGGTGAGACTTTAAATGAGGACGAGGGAGGCAGCAGGGTGGTGTGATGTGCAGGACTGTACCCACCAGTGCTGGCCCTGCAGACGGAGGATGGGCCCCAAACCAAGGAGCACTGTTGTCCTCTAGAAGCTATACAAAGCAAAGAAGCAGATTGTCCCCTAGGGCCTTAGGAATTCTGCTGACACCTTGATTTTAGCTCACTGAGACTCTTTTGGGCTGCTGACTTCCAGAACCATAGATGATGGATTTGCGTAGCTTTAAACCATGGAGCCCAGGCCGGTTTGTTACAGCAGGCTTGAGAAACGAATATACCCATGTGACTGATAGAGGGAAGAGGCACATTGAAGTCCTCCTGCAGGGCTCTATTATGTCACTTGCAGCATTTTTGCCAAAATAAGGGAATGTCATATGTTTCAAAGGCTCATGGAGCAAGGAGCTAGGGGTCCATGTTGAGCAGTCACAGTTATCCTCTCTGAGCCTCGGTTTCTTGTGACCTTAGCAGGCCTGAAAATGATGCTAGTTTTATTTAGAGACAGTGTCTCACTGAGTTGCTTGGTGCCTTGCCTTTGCTGAGGCTGGCTTTGAACTTGTAATCCTCCTGCCTTAGCCTCCTGAGCACCTGGGATTGCAGGCATGTGCCAACACGACCAGCCCTTATTTAGTTCTTAATGGTATGGCCGAATACTTGCTGAAAATGTTCAACTGGTGTGTTCAGAGGGGGATGGCGTGCGTAGCCTGTTTTGCGAGTGATAGAAGCGGTGACTGCAAGAGAAAGCACAAGAGAAGAGAGCCGGTTATAGATCTGGTGGTGAGCACTTAGGGGTACTCCCCAAGGAAGTCTTATCCTCCCTAGTCCTGGGAGGTTTGGTGATGCTTCACCTAGCTGGGGGACTCAGAATGCAGTGCGCATTCCCTCATTTTCTTACAAGGAAAGATGGGGAAAGGTTATATCTGGTGGAGTTTTGTAAAGGTCACCCACATAAGGAACATGCTATGGGGTCCTTCTTTGGACAGTAGATTTTTGTTCTTTTTGTTTGCAGTATATTCCTCATAATCTGTATCTGTCAACTTCAATAAAAGGGCCAAGTAGCTTATATACATAAAGGCAGGAATGCAAAGGAATCATTAAAATGAGAGTCACAATAGGGAGCATGCTCCTCAAGAGGGTTCCTAAGAAGGAATTTCACTGTGTGCTCTTCGGCAGCCAAAGCAAAAGAGAAATAGCTTGGTCTTATTCTAAAGAGGAGCAAGTGTTCGGCCATACCATTAAGAACTAAATAAGGGCTGGTCATGTTGGCGCATGCCTGCAACCCCATGTGCTTGGGAGGCTAAGGCAGGAGGATTGCAAGTTCAAAGCCAGCCTCAGCAAAAGCAAGGCACTAAGCAACTCAGTGAGTCATTGTCTCTAAATAAAACATAAAATAGGGCTGGGGATGTGGCCCAGTGGCTGAGTGTCATTCCTGGTACCAAAAAAAAAAAAAAAAGAACTAAATAAGGGAAGCCATGTGCAATAGCACATGCCTATAATCCCAGCAACTTGGGAGGTTGAGGCAAGAGGATTGCAATTTCAAGACCAGCCTCAGCAACATAGTGAGATCCTGTCTCAAAACAAAATAATAAAAAGGTCTGGAGATGTGGCTTAGTGTTAAAGCAGCCCTGAGTTCAATCCCCAGTACCTGCCCCCCGCCAAAAAAAAACTAAAAAAGGAAGTCACTTTTGTCTACCACATACAACTATCTAAACATGTCTGTTGTATTTCTAGATCAACCCTCTGAAAAAGGAAGACGAAGGAGTGTACCAGTGTCATGCGACCAACATGGTCGGGGAGGCCAGGTCCCACGGCACAGTGACCGTCCTGGATCTGAATAGATACAGAAGCTCCCTCTCCCCGGCTCCAGCAGGCCTCCTGTGATGGGGTAATGTATACATTCCAGTCATTGAATGTCCCTACACCCACGTCTAAGGGATCGGAGGCAGTCATTAGATGTGTAATGGAAAGAGAACAGTACATAAGTGGGGAGAGCAGAGGAAAGCAGGGCCGTGTGAAGATGAGCAGGCGGACCCTCTGTTAGGTACCACACACGTTTCTCTCTGAGTTTCCCAGCGTGCAATGCCCAGAGCCATGAACACGATGGGTGTCCATGAGATGGAAAAGCCCTGGTGCTTTCAGTTTCTGAGGCTGGAGGGAATGCTTCCACTGAGCCCTGAGAGAGGGCAGACAGTGTCATTGTGACGGCATCCAGGTGGAAACATTCCTGCAGAGAAGGCTGCTAGGCTTCATTTGTCTCTTCCCAGGACACTTTATGGGACAGCCCTCCAGCTCCAGGCTTGTCTTGCTGGCCCCAATACTGTACGCTGCTTAGCAACGGCTCTCAGGGGGAAGGGGAAGGGAGGCAGGATCGCTGCATCTCTTTTTGGCCAGGTGGCTTAGTCTTCCTAGTCACACAGGTGACAGCTGGGGTCACATCTGTCCCCTGCCTTCAGACAACTGTGAACTTGGGAAATGAATCACTTTAATTAGCCCACTTTTGCTATATAACAACTCCCAAACCTGGCTGGTTCACAGCCACAAACATTTAGCTCTTGCTCACGTTCCATGCCACTGATCCGGGTTTGCTGTGACTCCACCCCATGTCTGCTCGCCCAGGACTCAGCTGGAGGAGCAGCCCCAACATGTAATATGTCCACTCTCCAGGAGAAGGGACAAGCAAGAAGCTGGGCCAGGCACACAATCTCCTTTGAAGTTTCTGTTCAGATGTGATACACATCCTGCCTCCTTACAATCCATGGGCAGGAATGCACGGTCCCTTCCCAGGGATGGAAGAAGAGCCATGAACAGCTTCCGTCACTAAGACAGACCAACAGGGTCTGGATAGAACAGGAAAAATTAGAAACAAGTATGATAGAGTTTCTTAAAAGCAGAAGGATTTTGCCGGGTGCTGGAGTGTTCGCCTATAGTCCCAGCACCTTGGGAGGCTGAGGCAGGAGGATCACAAGTTCAAAGCTGGCGGGGAAACTTAGCAAAACCCCATATCAAAATAAAAAGCAAAAAGGGCTGAGGATGGAGCTCAGTAGTCAAGCACCCCAAGTTGAATACCCAGTACCAACAAAACCCAAACGGACAAGAGCAGAAGGATTTGGCTGTGGTCTCAGCCACACGATGCCTTTGGCCTCTGCTGTTGCACCCACTCTGTGTGCAAGGCCTTACATCAGGTCTGTAGGGGATGCAAGAAAAATGGAAAGTGAACATTATTATGGTATCAGGAAGAGTGCTAAGGGAACAGGGGAGCTGTGCGGGCTTGAGGCAGGAGAAACATCCAGAACGGGGGAAAACAAGGAAGGAAGTGCTTTAGGGTTCAAGGGAAGGTGTCTGTGGGCAGTTAGAGGTCCCAGAAATGGCTAAAAAGATGTGCAAGTGTAACCAAGAAGTTAGAATTCAGCAAAGAGTTAGGAAATCAGGCCTTCCTGATACTTGACTTTTTATTTTATCCATCTATATAAAATAGGTTATTTTGTGCATTGTAATAACATATGCCATATAGATAATACACACATTGTTTCATTTTGAGGTTTTGTGTTTCCTTGACACCATGCTGTATGGAGCAGCTCTTGCTCACAGGCCTCCAGGAGCACAGAGCTCACTCTCACCAGACAACCACCTGGCATTTTCCACTGGCTGAAAAGTCTCCTCTCATATCAGGCTGGAGTCACCTCCCTGGAAAATCCACCCATTGGTCTAACATGCCCCACAGAGCCAGGTGCAGTGGCACACGCCCATAATCTCAGCAACTCAGGAGGCTGAGGCAGGAGGATCACGAGTTTGAGGTCAACCTCAGCAACTTAGTGAGGCCCTGAGCAACTGAGAGAGACCTTGTCTCAAAATAAAAAATGAAAAGGGCTGGGATGTAGCTCAGAGGTTAAGTGCCCTGGGGTTCAATTCCTGGTAGATACACAGATAATAGATAGGTAGTTAATAGATAGGTAGGCAGCCCCACGAAGCCCTTCTCAGGCTCCCAGTCCCTCCATCTGCACCTTTTGTGCTGAGGATACTGAATTCAAAGATAATTTCCCTCCACTTCCCAATAAACACAGGGTTGGTCGTAACAGAACAGTCTTCTTTTCTCTAATCCCCACTCCCCTTTTCTTTCCAGGGTCTCCAAGACATTGATCACGGGATGATGGAGAAGTCCAGCCACGGATCTTGTTGTTTGGGAAGACTAAGGAAAAAACTGTGTCTGTAGATAACCCCTTTTGTATGTTTTTTAAAATTGGATGCAAACTAGATTCATATGCAGATGTAGTTTTTAGCAGGGCGGACAGTGGGGAAACAGAGGTGCATGTAGCTTTTTTTACACTTTGGGAATGAATCCTTTTGTAACTGTTCCCTCCCAGGGAAAAGCATTTGTCATTCAAAAAGTATTTGTCATTCTAAAGGGCTCACAACAAGGCATGTGTCCACTGTGACTCTTTACCTCATGAGTCTGTGACTGATAAGTGGGCACTCTGTGACTTAGTGTGTGATACAGAAGGAGAGAAGAGGGCCTTGGCTCTCCTTGGCCTGCTGCATGACCTGGACAGGTCCTTTCCCCTCTCTGGACCTTGGTCTCTCCACCTGTGATTGTGACATTTGGACTAGATACTACTCACCAGGGCCCCTTCTAGCCCTTCCATCTTAGAGCAAGATGGTCCCATGCAAAAAAAAAAAAATATATAGAATCACCTCAAATTTGCCTTGTCAAAATTAGACAGCAGGATGTAGACCCAGAAAATAGGGCGGCTGGAGCCCCATGGTGGAAGTGCCAAGTATCCTGACCGCATGGGGCTGGGTTTAACAGTATATCTACGTGCAAACATGAATAAAATAATAAATGCTGCATTGTCTGAAATTTTCACCAAGACCCAAAAAAAAAGCAGATTAATATGATTATCCAACTTAATGGCTTGTCACCTGGGAGAGCCCCAAACCTCTTCTCAGACCTAGAACATGAAGCATGATCCCCTCCCCCAGCCCTCCTGTCAAGCCTGTTTTCTACCCATATTTTCATAGATGCCATGATGTCCCAATTCCTGCACCCTGAAAATAAATGTTTTCAAGGATGGTCTTTGCGGTTTCTGTCCTAGGATGTGGCTGTAGATTTACTCCAGGTCCCACTGACACTTCTCGGCCATCTCTCCTGCATCTTGTCCTATTTTTCCCTGCTTACATCAGCTACTTCAGTCCAACCCCCCTTACACTTCATACCTGCCCCCCTTACTTGCAATTTTTCACCAGCCCTAAACCCCTGACACTATGGATTCTTCTAAGGCCCCCTGAATTTGCATGTCCAGCTATACAAGCATTCTAATATTCCATTCACTCACTGAAGTTAATTTTATTATGATGATTTTGTATCAGGGATTGAACCCAGGGACACTTGCCACTGAGCCACATCCCCAGCCCTTTTTACTTTCTGATTTAGAGACAGGGTCTCACTAAATTTCTTAGAGCCTCACTCAGTTGCTGAGGCTGGCTTTGAACTTGCGATCCTCCTGCCTCAGCCTCCCGAGCTGCTGGGATTACAGGCGTGCACCACCGCTCCCAGCTCATTCACTGATCTGAACTCTGTCAACTCCCAGGTACACACTGAGCAGCATTCTCCAGGAGCCTGGAGGCTGTGAGACGCCAGGCAGGGAGGGCACATGCCCAAGTGCCAGTGGGCCAGGACATACCAAGAGCCTTTTTGAAGCTGGCTGCCTGGCTGCCCAGTAAGATGTTTTGAGAGAAAACAAACATTCATGTAACATTTATTACAGCACATCACTATTGTTCTATTTTATTATGTTATTGTTTTAATCCTTACTGTGCCTAATTTATATTCAACATTGTAGGCATATATTGTACATAGAGGGAACCCACAGTATATGGAGGCTTTGGTACACTCCATAGTTTTGGGTGTCCACTCTCGTAAGGATAGGAGGGTCTACAATAATTCTTAAGTGAGTGTTTGATCCCAAATGTACCCACTTTTTACCTTAAACCAAAAAACGGCTGGTGTTTTAGTCAAGGTGGATTTTTTCCTTCAGGTTTCAGGGTGAAATTAATTCCTATGTCTTTAAAAACCATTGCTCTCCCCTCTCCCCCAGGGATGGGTGATATCGGGACAACGAATAAGAAAGAGCAAATCAGTCGGCAGCAGAGTCTCCTCTAATGAATTTCCTCATTCCCAGCCTTTGCCTGGGCCTCTTGAACATTAAATCAGAGAATGGTTATTATGTGATATTTTAATTAATTAAGGGAAATCACAGTACTCTGGTGTCTGCAGTTTAATGAATTCAGGACGTGGAGCCCATCACCCAGGGCAGGACTGGATGGCTGGCTCAGTGGGGCCGGCTTCTCTTTCCTTTATGGTCAGGGCTGCCTTGGAGTTCCGTTGACTGCCTCCAGGGCTGAGAAGTGCCTGGTACCAGGAGATAGAGACACCTGTCTTGTCGGCCACTACTCTTCCTGTGCCTAAATCTCCCCCCACCCATGATATTAAAGAGAGGTTGACTGTTGAGCAGAGTGAAAATTGGAGGGGACGGAAGCCTCTTTTCCCCTGAATGAACTGACCCTTCGAACTCATTTGCAGAGTACCCGCTGTGCCCCAGGCACTGCATGCTCCAGAGCCTCAGCCCTGGCACAGGGTACCACATGCTTGTGGTACCAAGCATGGAGCCAGCTCTGTACTGCGTGCGGAAGGTATGGGCAGGGTGGCTTGGGAAGAATGGGCATTTGTTGGAGGACCTGGAGCCAAGGTGGAGCACTGTCATGACCTATGGGTCTGGGTCACTTCCCTCGACTCTCTGAGCTTCTGTTTCCCCATCAGCCCATGGAGATCAGCATCACTACACTGGCCTGCTGCTTTGAGGACTCCTGACATTCTGCAGGAGATGGCAGAGGGCAGGGAGAGAAACTAGACGTGCTTGGAGTCTGTGAGAGACAGTCTAGGGGGACTGGGCCAAACCAAAATAATAATAATAATAATATAAAAATAATAATAGATCCATTTGATGGCATGCTAACCAGCAAGAGCTGCCTAAGTTCAAGACCAAGTGACAGGTGACCAGTGACCACTGTGAGTCCAAAAGGCCTGAGGTAGCTTCATTGAGAAGATCAGACAAAGGGCCTAGAGGAGGCGAAAACAGACTGATTTTGGAGATGAAAAAAGGAGGAAAAAGGAGCATCACTGGTAAGGCTGGGTGTCAGATGGCTCAGGACAGGACTGACTGTGAATGCGTCCTGAGAGAATCCCTTCACCGTCCCACACAGCTGCCTAGAGTGGCCACAGGCAGCAGAGCCGTCAGTGTGCTGTCCCCCAGAACCTGAACCCCTACACAGCTTCGTGTTGTCAGGTGCCAAGGACATTGGGTCACGTCATTTTTGCCACTGAAATGTCAGTTAAGGTTTGGAGTTCAGAGGTCAGGCCTTCTAAGAAGTCACTGTGCCTTTTCTGTACCTTCCTCTCCATCTCCCAGCTGACATGGGTTTCTGTGGCCCTAAGGAGAAGTTTTTAACCTCTTAACCCCAGAGGTTGCTTGGGATGCTAGACGTGAATTCACACGTTCTGTGAAATCCTTGAAAGTGTACAAAATTTGGGGTGCATGTGCCCATGTGCATTTTCGTCTGGTGAAGAAGTATCATTTTTATTAGCTTCTCCTAGGATCATGCCACATACCGATGGTTAAGACCCAGTGCAGAGGGCACAGCCACAAGATGGAAGTTAAGCTGTGCCCCTGAACCTAGAGGAAAACTGCAGTGTGAACAGATTTCTGCATTAGAGTATCAACAAAGAGCCATGGACGTGTTGAAACCCTCAAAGGGACGGGGTTCATTTGTTATGGCACCTATTACACATAGGTTGGTTAGGAGCCAAGAGGCCTGTGATTCATGCTATGTTCTGGTCCTATCTGGACTTGTAGGACACTTGGACACTTACTCTGTCCACCTCTCTGGTTAGGCAAGGTGAGGACATGCTAGAGGCCTTCAAAGGGGCTTATCACATGACTCCGTCTCCTTGGAAGGTCTTCCTCACTCATGGACAGATCCCTGTGGCTTGGGACTCTCAACTAAGTCAATGTGGCTCTGTTCCCAGCCCCTGCACACAGACTGCTTCTACCCAGGTCTATGGGGACAATCTGTGGCTGCAACAGAGAGGAGCAAAGGACCCTGGATGGAGTCCTGGTCCAATTATCAGCTAAGCATCTCCAGGGCTTGATGTTCTCCAAGTGTAGAGTGTTAGTCCTGTGTGTCCTGAGAGTAGTGGGGTATTAAGTGGGGTAGCCTAATAAGTGGGTGCTTAATGAATAGTATTTTTTTTCTCAGGACCTCCTGGCCCCTGTACTTCTACTTGGCTTTATACTTTTCACCCTGTTCTGGAACCGTCTCCCCTGCTGGACTGTGAGCTCCCTCGGGGCAGAGATTGTCTTATTCAATTCTCTTTCCCCCAACAATTGACCTAGAGCCAGGACTTTTTATTTATTTATTTACTTTTCTTCCCTTAAATAATAAATGATCTTAGCAAATCAATTAACAGAGTGACCACCAGAGGTCAGCCTCATGCCCAGAATTGAGCCCACTCAAATTAAAGTTCCTAAGTGGCCTCAGATCTGATAAGGTATCGGTGTGACTGAGCAGCAGTCCTCAGGGATCCAGCAAGAAACCAGATGATTTGGGCTTGTTCAGTGTCTTTGGGGTTTTTTGGGCTTAGCCATTTGGTTCAATAGGCTCCTCAGCATGCCCCGCTTCTGGATGATCCCAGGGCAAGCTCATGGGAGATTGGCCCCAACCAAGCTGCTTACTAAACCTCTTGGCTTCCATTTCCTCATCTGGGGAGAGCGGGGAAGGTGACCCAGGATTTTGCAGGACAGCTCTAAGGTCCCAATGGTGTATAAAAGTGAATTGCCTAGCACAGTGCTGGACCGAGTGAGAGCTTGGGGAAAGTGTGTCAAAGGATGGATGGCCCAGAGCTGAGCCATGTCCTGCTGAATGATGATGCCCAGTTAAACCCCCCAGTTCAGTTCACAAGTCTGCATTCAGAGCAGTGGTAAAAATGAGTAAAGATGGGATCTATCTGAATCCACAGAATAAGAATTTCAGGGCTTGACAATCATGAAACTCATTTGGCAAGAAGCCCAGAATAGTGAAAGCAATCCGAACTGAGAAAAGTAAAACAGGAGGCATCACAATAAACCTTAAACCATACTATAAAGCTATAGTAACAAACAATAGACCTTAAACCATACTATAAAGCTATAGTAACAAAAATGGCATGGTATTGACCCAAAAACAGATATGAAGACCAATAGTACAGAATAGAAGATACAGAGACAAACCCACATAAATACAGTTACCTCATATTAGACAAAGGCACCATAAACACACATTGGAGAAAAGATAGCCTCTTCAACAAATGGCGCTGGGAAAACTGGAAATCCATATATAACAAAATGAAATTAGACCTCTATGTTTCACCCAAAACTCAACTCAAAGTGGATCAAGGATCTAGGCATTAGACCACAGACCCTGAACCTGCTAGAAGGAGACGTAGGCCCACTTCTCCATCATGTCAGCTTACAAACTGAATTCCTCAACAAGGCTCCTAAAGCATAAGAAGTAAAATCAAGAATCAATAAATGGGATGGTATCAAACTAAAAAGTTTCTTCACAGCAAAGGAAACAAGAACATGAATAGAGAGCCTACAGAATGGGACAAAAATCTATGCCACCTGCACCTCGGAACATTAATCTCTAAGATATATAAAGAACTCAAAGACTTAGCACCAAAAAAAAAATGAATAACCTAATCAATAAATGGGCTAAGAAACTGAACAGACATTTCACAGGAAAAAAAGTACAATTGGTCAATAAATAATATGAAAAAATGTTCAACATCTCTAGCAATTAGAGAAATGCAAATTAAATCTACACTGAGATTTTATCTCATTCTAGTCAGAATAAATAAATAAAGCCCCCCAGAGGCTAGGATGTTAAAGCCAGGGCCAGGTGTCAGCTCACAGAATGACTGGACTTCAACACGGGGTGATCTCCCAGCAACGTGGTCCAGGAAGACGGAAGGGGACTCAGGCTCAGCAATCTGTGAATGGCAATTATCAAGCACATAAGCAACAATAAATGTTGGCAAGGATGTGAGGGAAAAGGGTACACTTATACATGGCTAGTGGGACTGAAATTTGTGCCACCGCTCTGGAAAGCTGTATGAAGTTTCCTCAGAAAACTTGGAAGGGAATCACCAGTTAACCCAGGTATCCCACTCTCAGAGATATACCCAAAGGACTTAAAATCAGCATACTACAGTGACGCAGCCACATCAATGTTTATGGCAACTCAATTCATAATAGCTAAGCTATGAAACCACCTAGATGCCCTTCAACAGATAAATGGATTAATAAAATGTGGTACATATACACAATGGAAATATTACTCAGCCTCAAACTCAGCCATAAAGAAGAATGAATTATGGCATTTGCCAGTACATGGATGGAACTGGACACTATCATGCTATGCAAAATAAGCCAATCCTCAAAAACCAAAGGGTGGATGTTCTTATATGTGGATGCAAACTCATAATAGGTGGGGGGGTGTTTTACCAGATTAAAAGCGGGGAGGGGTGATGGGGGAAAGGGAGGGAGATGGGAATGGAAAAGACAGTGGAATGAATCAGACATTACATTCCTATGTTCATATATGAATACACGATCAGTGTAATTCCACATCATGTACAACCACAAAAATGGGAAATTATACTCCATGTATGTATAATATGTCAAAATACATTCTACAGTCATGTATAATTTAAAAGAATAAAAAGACTTTAAAAAGAAAGAAAAAAAAAGTATAAAGAATTTCAGGGCTTGAAATTAGGGTTCTTAAAGATTGTCTTTTCCTAATCCCACCCTCTCATGGGACACCCTCTACAAAGTTCCTCCCTGGTCTGGAAGTAATAAATAAGGGAAGCATTTGTTAAACAGTGTAATCTTTCGTGTTAGCCATTAGAGATGCCCACCAACCTCCCTCAGCCACAGCCCCATACTGTACTGCAGAGGTGCCAACCGCCTCCAGGAGAAACAGATGGAAGGTGCACTTCCGAGAGTCAGGGTCACCTCACCCTAAAGTGTCATAGGAAGAGGTCCTAGGAAGGGAGATGAGAGAATCCAACAGACCTTAAGCCCTCAAGAAGCCATTTCAGGCCAAACCCACATGAAGATACTAGAATAAAGCCCCCCAGAGGCTAGGATGCTAAAGCCAGGGCCAGGGTGTCGGCACACAGAATGACTGGACTTCGACACGGGGTGATCTCCCAGCAACGTGGTCCAGGAAGATGGAAGGGGACACAGGCTCAGCCTTCTGCTTCTGACTTTGGCCTGGCTGGCTGGGTCCACCTTGACTCCTCACTTTGGGAAGAAAAGCAGCAAGACTGGCAATCCTCACAGTGAACTCTGAGGCTCGCAGCTCTGGAAACCCCCAGCATGTTGGAACAGGCCTGGTGCTGCACTTGGGTTGAGGTGGGTGGGGCTTCAGAGGGTTTGGGGGAGAATGTCAGTGAAGCCTCAAAATGAGATAGGCTTGCTCGGGGCAGGAACGAGAAATTTCTTCATAGGTCTCAAATTTACATTTGTCATCAGCCAAGAGAAAATGAAAAATGAGAAAGAAACACTGTGGAATGGACTTTGGCACCTGACAGGGTGTAGACAAGAAAACTACCTGGGTCCCTTCTGGCCCCAGGACTCTAAAATATTCAACAGCTATCTGTCTATCTATCTATCCATCCATCCATACACACACACACACACACATATACACACACGGATACACACAAGATTTGCAAATAGAATGTATTTATTTTAATTTTTAAATGGAATTAAAAAGTGTACAATTAAGTTGTTTCTAGTTCATGTTCAAAGTTAGGCAATTATTACCACTTTCTAATTCCAGAACATTTTCAAATCCTCCCAAAAAGAGATTCCCATATCCACAAGCAATTAGTCCCCAACCCTCCTCCCCCAGCCCCACCCAACCACTAATCTGCTTTCTATCTCTAGGGATTTGCCTGGTCTGGACACTTCATATAAATGGAATCATACAACATGTTATCTTGCATGTCTGGCTTCTTTTACTCAGCATGATGTTTTCAAGGCTCACTTATATTGTAGCATGTATCAGAAATTCATTTGGGGTGGGGGGCGGTACTAGGGATGAACCCAGGGCCTTGCATGTGCGAGGCAAGTGCTCTACTGCTGAGCTACATCCCACAACCTGTTTATTTTTTACTTTGAAGCAGGGTCTCACTGAGTTGCCCAGGCTGACCTTGCACTTGCAATCGTCCTGCCTCAGCCTCCAGAGTAGCTGGGATTACAGGAGTGTACCACCGTGCCTGGCACTCATTCCTTTGTTTGGAGAATCGTTAAAGGAATAGAAACCTTTGGTTTATCCACTCATCAGTTAATGGGCATTAGGGTTGTTCAAGTTTAGTTTAAAGGTGTGATTATATATAAATGCATTCCTCACCTATGCTTTTCCCTCACACGAAGGAAAATCAGTAATAAAATGAAGAGCAAGCAAAGCAGCCAGGGATTGGAACTTAGAAAAGAAAAATCCCTCATTTTGAGATTAAGTCAATGAAAAACAGGGCCAAGACTTGTTGTCCACCTAGGTCAAAATCTTATTGTCTTCAAATCCTCTGAGATAAGACTATTTTCAAATCCACCGATTCATCTACTGGAAAGTCCCTGGATCAGCAGGAATGACCAAAAATGACTGTCCACCCAATGAGTGGTTTTAATGTCTTCCAGAGGCTCCAGAAGTTACGCAAGGGCCACCAAGAGTGCAGGGGCTGAGGAGCAAAGGCAAAGGACATGGAACCCAGCCTCCAGCCTGCTTTAAAAGGAACAGCTCTGATTTAGTTGTTTTATTTGTTGGAGTCCCTTCTAAGAGTTCATTTGGAACAAATAAAGGGAATCCAGGGCCAAAAAAAAAAAAAAATTGGCAAGCAAGCGCCCAGTCTAGATAGCTGTAGCATGGCTGGGCTGGGCTGGGTCTGGGTGGTGACCATTCTCATGAGTTTTTCTGAGGAACCTTGATGGTGACAGTCTTCACCTCCGTGTAGGCTCTAAGCCCATCCTCCCCCAGCTCCCTCCCATTGCCAGATTCCTTAAAGCCTCCGAAGGGTGTGTGGCAGGTGACGATGTTGTAGGTGTTCACCCACACCGTCCCGGCCTGCAGGGCCTGGGTGAAGTACATGGCCTTGTCCAGGTCCCTGGTGAACACGGCAGCAGCCAGGCCATACCTGGTGTTGTTGGCCCTCTCAATCACCTCTTCGATCTTCTTGAACTTGAACAGGGGCTGCACGGGCCCAAAGATCTCCTCCTTGGCAATCGTCATGTCATCCTGCACCCCACCGAAGACTGTAGGCTTGATGAAGAAACCACGCTCCCCAAAACGCTCCCCACCGCAAAGAAGTTTTGCCCCCTCCTTCTGGCCCAGCCGGATGTAGCCCAGGATTCGTTCAAACTGCTCCTTGTCCACCTGGGGCCCCTGCTGGGTGTCCAGCTCAAAGGGGTTCCCAACTTTCCTCTGCTTGGCCTTCTCCACGGTTCTCTCGAGAAACTCATCGTAGATGGATTCTTCGACAAAGGTCCGGGACCCCGCGCAGCAGCACTGGCCCATGTTGAAGAAGAGGGCTTCGTGACACTGGTCCACGGCGTGACCCATGTCGGCATCGGCCAACACGATGCTGGGGCTCTTCCCACCCAGCTCCAGGGTGACTCTCTTGAGGTTGGAATCGCCGGCAGCCTTCTGGATCAGGTGCCCCACCTCCGTGGAGCCGGTGAAGGCAACTTTGTCAACATCCATGTGCTGGGCGATGGCGGCTCCTGCTGTTGGGCCGTAGCCCGTGATGATGTTCACCACCCCAGGGGGAAAGCCGGCCTCCTTGATGAGGGAGGCCAGGTACAGGGCAGAAAGGGGGGTCTGCTCTGCAACCTTCATGACCACGGTGTTGCCTGTGGCCAGGGCCGGGGCCAGCTTCCAGCCTTGCATGACCAAGGGGAAGTTCCAGGGTATTATCTGGCCACAGACGCCCACAGGCTCGTGCCGGGTGAAGCAGAAGTGCTCGCCATCCATGGGGATGGTCTTGCCATGCCACTTGTCAGCCCAGCCGGCAAAGTAGCGGTACACCTTGATGACCTCATCCAGGTCCAAGGCGTAAGACTCTTGGAAAGGCTTCCCGTTGTCCAAGGTCTCCAGGGAGGCCAAGTAGACACGATCCCGCTCCACTAGGTCTGCCAGGCGGTTCAACAGCCGGCCCCGCTCAGATGCATCCATGCGGCGCCACGGGGACCCCAGGCGGAAGGCCTCACGGGCTGCTTTCACTGCCCTGTCCACATCGGCCCTGTCCCCTTCAGCCACGTGCCCGATGACCTCACCGGTGGTGGGGTTGACCGTGGGGAAGGTCTTCTTGCTGACTGCGTCTTGCCACTCGTTGTTGATGAACAGCTGGTTGTAGCGGATGTCTGGGTTGGAGATTGGGCTTGGGAGGGCTGCTGCTGAGAAGTACCGGGCAGTCCTGCCCTGGAGGCAAAGCAGCCGGGGAACCAGGAAGCGCAGCATGCTGACCACTCTGCAGAGGGACAGATGGAACCGGGGTAAGCAGGTGGGAGGGGGCAAAGGGGACACCCCAAAGGTCCACCAATTCACATATTCTGATATTCTGATTATAACATAAAGGGGTACTGCCTCTGAAAACATGGGTTGCTAAGGGGGACGAGGGCCTGAAGAACTCTGGTCCAGGTCCATCATGTTCCACCTCTCTTCTGACTCACACCCTCACCTCTTCTGCTCAAATACCATCATCTGCTTAGCAAGGCCTTCCCTGATCAGCCTTTACAAAACCGAGACTCTTCCCAGACCACACTATACCTGCATCCTGCTTGGCATTTCTCCATCTCACATGCCAAACATTATATTTATATATGTAATGTTATTATTATTATTTTTTGTCCCCCTTGCACCATGAGACAAGGCTTTGGGCTTGTCATTGTTCCATTCATGGCTGGGTCCCTGATCTCTAGAATTATGCTTGCTACAGAACAGCTCAGCTGCTCAACAGATGGTCACTGAGTGATATACTCAGGACACAGGGGAATTCCCACAAAAGCCATTGAAGAATTGACCTCAGACTTTAGTAGAAACTAAAGGAACTTGGAGACAGTTGCCTTCTGGGAGTGACTTGCTGCATGTCACCTCATATGTGAAATGCCCCACGAGGTTATATGGAATGGGGTCTTGCATATAAAACAGTCAACACACTCCACCCAGGACATCAGAGCTGTCAGTGCCTCCAAAACCAACCCAGCCCAGCCCCCAAGCACAGGTCTCAGTTGGAGCCTCAGTTTGCCCAAGGGTGCTGCCAGTTAAGCAGCAGCTGGGAGGAAGAATCTGGGTATTCTGGGCTATGACTCTGAAAACAAGGGAGACTTTATTAAAACAACTACTTCAATAAAAGTTAAGCAGCATGTAAGAGTCACTAAATAAACATTAAACAGTGTCTAAAGTTCCTAGGTTAGTTGAAGCAATTGAGCAATCCCCTGACCCCCATCCCACTCCATCTCCACCACTGGCAGCTGCAAGGAACAAAGAACTCATCCAGGAAACCAAGGCTCCAGCCAGGTCTCCAAACCCATAAAAAACAATGCTGACCCGGGCAAGCCCTCCCTGGTGGGGTGGGAAGGGGGCCAGCTGAGACAGCACACTTATCAGGGGTGCACCTAAGTTCCTGGGCCCTGAGCTCTGCCACAGACTGAGACAGAAGCAAACTTGCAACGATGGGAGGGGAGAATCCCAGGGGGAGGTGGGGAGGGGGAGGAAAGGGGGATCATCCTAGGGGGTCTTGGAGATACTAAGCAGGCTGGCAAACTACTTCTTGTCCACACCAAGGCTATTCCCACACCGGGGTCCTAGATGGAGTCTATGCCAGTTAACTCCAGATCCAAATAGAAAGCTCACTATTCACAGGTGCAGCTCATTTTACAGTTTCCAGCCCATCTTATCATTGTAAATTCATCAAGCCTCCCTGTACCTCCTGGGCGATCCGGATAGATGTTGATCCCCATACTGGAAGAGGCTGGGGATCAGAGAGGTTCAGGGACTCACTGAGGACACAGAGCAGGACTAGCTTTGCATTTCCTCGAGTACAGGCAGGGGTTTTCTTATAGATCACCCTATTTAAGCGCCCACGGAGCTAAGGGCCAAGACTTTCTGGGACATAGGCAGCACTTAACTCAGCCCTTCTAGAGGAAGAGGGTGGGGCGTGTCCCAGTTTTGGGGCTATGGCCAGAGGACCTGTGCTGGAGTAAGCCTGGTGGGCGGGAGTGTTGGGGTCGTAGTAACAGGGAAGGTTTGGAAGGTCTGTGTCCTCCGGTTCAGCTCCAACCAGAGAACAGGGAGAGGGAGAGAAGGCGGGAAGAGGGTCCTGCAGTGAGCGCCAAGCAGGAAGGCCGGGCCGAGGATGGGAAGCCCCGGTGCAGGGAGCTGCGGTTTGCCCCGGGGCGCTAAGGGAGGAAGGGCTTTACTACCTGCAACAGGCTCGGGATCCGGTTCAGGACCAATTCCGGGTTCAGATGAGACCTCTCTCCAAAGTCTGGTACCTCGCCCCTC